GCTGTGTATATACACAGCTAAATTTGTGGCCACTTCATGGTGTTATCATGCAAGTGATATAGCTTCAAAGGAAATATACAAATAGAAACCTTCTATCCAAATATTTCCAAGTCAGGTTTAGAAGTTGTTAACAGGCTTTCAACTGAGCAATGTTCTCAATCACTATATCCACTTTCATGTTCTTAATACTTGCAGTTTCAATATACCATAATCTGAGTCCTTTCAGTCTTTCTTGGTTTACTGAATTTCTTATGCCATTTTCAGTTTAGAAAGATTCTCTTCTTAAAACTTGTAATGGTTACTGGCAAGACTACAAATAACAATGGAGCAATACACACACACATCATCAAAACTTGAATATATGAAAAGAATATTTAACTATTAATTAATAAGATCCTTAACCAAAGTTAGTTTTCAAATTTTTTGATAGAAAGCTGTTGGGAACAAAGACAACCCATACAGTGAAGGCTGATTATAATTCATCTGCATATTAGTCCATAGTACTTCTGCTGCTTTCTTTACTTCATCATTGGTAATACTTAATTTGGTTGGCTGAAACACAACAAACTTGTACACAAACAAATTCAGTCCTTAAAATCCTAAGTCAAGTTGCACAATCACAATATCTTAAAGTAAAAACTAAATACTGTTTCCCTGATGTGGTTTTCTAGAATTTAACTACACCTTAATGCTTTTTTTAAAACTTTGGTTCAATGCCCTATTTTTTAGGGTAAGAATGAAAGTACCTTTCTTAGCTTCATTAAATTGGTGTTGATACTTAGATAGCTTCTTCCTCAAATACATTTTGAAGGTTTATGTGGCTTTCATGAAATATGCTTCTTTGCATTGAAAAACTTGCATTGAAGCCATATTCATCATATCATATAATCTATGTCAGAACCATAACTAAGATTACAAACTCATATTTCTCAGTTTTTGTCTTCAAATTAATTATCACATTCATCCTCTAATTTCAAGGGCAATTTTAGTCAAAGCTTTCACAATAATTCTGCTTATAACAGCACTAGTTATGTACAGAACCATATGTGTATTGCATATTTGGTTTGTTGCCATTAATCCTTTTCTGTGCACCAAAATAAAGTTTAGAATTATATTTTCACTCCGCAGCTATACTGTGGTCTTTAATTTCATGAAAACCAAGAAATTCTTCAATGATTTTTCCCTTTCTCAGGTTTGTCAATTCTTGTCTCAAGTTATTTAAACATAGTAGAAGATATGGTTTCATTAATCAACTTTCCAAATGCTATGATGGGGTAAAATGGTGTGGGCAGAATGTCACCATAAGCTCACTTTCCAAGTATCTTGAAAGTGTTTTGAATAGTAGGACTTCAGTACTTTGATTTAGCTAGATGCTTCAAATCTGATAAGTTGCTATTATTTACTTGTCTTCCTTGATTCTCTTCTTTTTTATAGACAAATGTAAGTTATTTTTACCAGCCATTGAACAAGTTCCCACAAAACGTTTTTCCTCCATATTTGGTGCAAGAAGTCCTTTATCCACTATTCCACACAGCGCACTGAGAATAGCATAACCATGTAATTGGTGAGGCACTAGGTCTAACTTCTTTATGGCACTGTATAAAATTCCAGAAAAGTATTGCATTTGTTATTTGTCTCAGGAAAATGAACTCTCTGTTTTGCTTTATCCATGTTCTATGAATTATTTTGATATATACATCTTCAATATCAACAAGGAAACTATCATTGTTTATAGGGTACATGTACTTGTTAGCAATAATGGTTTCATTACATATTTTTGTTTGTGTCACATCATATTTTTTATCTTAGACAAGATATCAATTTCAAAATTATCACAATTCAAAGGATTACTAGGTGTGTGTGACACTTTTGGCTTAATATTCAGGATAAGCCCTTGTGGTTTTAAACTGACTCTTGCTCTTTCTTAACTAATAATATTCTAGCCTTTTCAGTCTTTACTACACCTATTCTGTTATGACTGTTTTACAAAATAAGTATTAATTCTCAGTAATTTCTGTCCAGAATTCCTTTCTCTCTTCTGATGTTTCATTAGTGTGACTTAGTTCCATCATGGGTGTCATTTACATACCTAACAGATGTAGGATATTTAACACAAAACTATTACTGACTACATTGTTATTTTAACAACAAAATACTTATGTCTAAACAATAGTTCAGTTTTTAAATGTGTATAGCTTTATGGTAGCCACATGGGAACAAACTAGACTACAATAACTGAAACTGTGTTACTAGGTGCAGTTATAAATCAGTTAGACAGTGAAAGTTTGTTTGTTTGTAATTAAGCACAAAGCTACATAATGGGCTATCTGTGCTCTGCCCACCACGGGTATCGAAACCCGAATTCTAGCATTGTAAGTCAGCAGACATACCGCTGTGCCACTGGGGGGCTAGACAGTGAAAAATGAGAGAAGAATTCTAGAAGTCTAGATTGAGGGTATGGATAAAACCTGTGATTTATTTGGAACACTATTTACTCCTGTTCTTAAAACCAATATTTTGTGACAAAGTTGCAGTATCTGTCAAGCATTACTGTCACTTCTTGTAAAGAAGGGGCAATTCATTGATCATGCATTTTTAAAATGGCTGATGAACTTCAAAAAATGTGGAAAGTAAGATTGCATGATGAATACTAATACAGAAAAAGAACAAGTTCATTGTACAGCATGAAACTGTCCACAGGTTATCTCACCAGCCTGTGAGATAATGTTTGGTTGTTCAATGGTCATATTCTGGACACTGTCGTTACTTGAATACTTTAAATGGTCCTAAGCTTGTCTGTTGGTAAACATGTTAGCACTTCACCATATCGTTACCACTTTAGCTGAATGAATGGTGTAGAGTATTAAGCATATGTTTGTTCAGTTTGTGAACCCTGATGGAATTCATAGGGATGAACACCAACTATACATCATGATGGCATACTACACAGCTTAGCAACAATCAACTGGCTGTTCTGTAAATCTCTTGTTGGCTGGCTAAAAAAAAGTTCAGATCTGATGTATTGCCCCTCTGTCCAGTGCATATGATGTAGTGTTCTCAGGAGTATATGGAATGGTTGCATTCTGCATGAAATTGTGCACCAACAAATGTGAAAAAAAG